CTAGGACTATAACAGAGTTTAAAGAGAAGCTAGATAATTTCACGGAGGCTAGGTCCATAAAAGACTATTAGCCAGGGGATAGAAATGGTGTCCCTGGCCTCTGTTTGTCAGAGGCTGGAGAGGGATGGCAGGAGACAAATCGCTTGATCATTGTCTTCGGTCCACCCTCTCTGGGGCATCTGGTGCTGGCCAGTTTAGGCAGATAGGCTACTGGGATAGATGGACCTTTGGTTTGACCCAGTACGGCCGTTCTTATGTTCTTAAGTGGGAGAGGTGAACAAAACTTCCATAGTCAATAAGGGAGGAGGGACGAACAAGCAAGTTGTAAAGCAGGGGTGGGCAAGAGAGCCTCTGTGGGCTAGATCTAGCCTGCCAAGCCAGTAGATCCATCCTGTGACCGTTCTTCCGCTCCCCTGCCCACAGGCCAATCGAGATGTGGGGGTGGGAGGAATGCATAAAGTCTCTTCTCGCCGTCAGAGGCACGTGGCGCCTAGAGGGAACTGTAAGCTGTTCAAAACAGCTGGCAGTTCTCTCTAGGAACCGGGGGCAAAGACTTCATACATTCCCCTACCCCCAGGCCAGTCAGGCTCTGTGGGTGGGAGAGCATGGGAAGTGTCCTAACCCCACCCCTTCCACCCGAGGCCCCGCCCCTTCCAGGGCCATTTCACAAATGTTTGAATTTGTGAAGTGCCTCCCCCTTCAAAAATTATGGACCACCCCTATTGTAAAGGAAAGTAAAAGTGAGAACAGGAAGCTTAGATGTGTGATGCTGTGAGTTAGCAGACACATTGGCTGCGTCTAGACTGGCAAGTTTTTCCGCAAAAGCAGCTGCTTTTGTGGAAAAACTTGCCAGCTGTCTACACTGGCCGCTTGAATTTCCGCAAGAACACTGATGATCTCATATAAGATTGTCAGTGTTCTTGCGGAAATACTATGCTGCTCCCGTTTGGGCAAAAGCCCTCTTGCACAAATGCTTTTGCGCGAGAGGGCCAGTGTAGACAATGAGGTATTGTTTTGTGCAAAAAAGCCCCGATCGCAAAAATGGCGATCTGGGCTTTCTTGCGCAAAACCACGCCAAGATTGGCACAGATGCTTTTCCGCAAAAAGTGCCTTTGCGGAAAAGCGTCCATGCCAATCTAGACGCGCTTTTGCACAAATGCCTTTAACGGAAAAACTTTTCCGTTAAAAGCATTTGCGGAAAATCATGCCAGTCTAGACATAGCCATTCAGAGTAGAGATGACTAAGGGTGCATCTACACTGCACCGTTTTTCTGGAATAACAGCCATTATCGGAAGAGGGTGTGTGTGGATGCTCTCCTGCTGCTATGCTGAAATAACTCCTCCCCAGTGCCTCCTGGGGCTCTAAATTGAGATAGCGCGTCCACATTAGGGGAGCCTGCCTCAGACTAATTTCGAGGCTTCCCTGCAGTATGGACGTTCTATTTCAAAATAAGCTTTTCTGGAAGATATCTTCTGGAAAAGCTTATTCCGAAAGAAGCTTTCAGTGTAGACGTACCCTTAGTAAGAGCAATAGACCAGCTGGGTAGCTTTTCCACCTGCATTTTGAATAGACCAGACAGGGAACGCAGGTACAGAGAACGCTGCAAGCAGTGCACTCAGATGAAAGGCAAAGGCCTGCTTGAATAGCATACTCTGTCTACTGGCTGGTGCAGAGCTTCACATAGCTAACTTAAACAGAAGGAAGAGGCACTTCAGGCTATGTCTAGACTACATCCCTGTCTGCAGAGGGATGTAAATGAAGCACTTTGAAAGTGCAAATGAAGCTGGGATTTAAATATCCCGCACTTAATTTGCATAATCACGTAATGGTGCTCTTTCAAAAAAAGCACTATTTTGAAATTGAAACAGTTCTTTCGAAAATGGGGCACTTTTTCAAAAGATCCTGTAAACCTCATTTTTTGAGGTTTAGAGGATCTTTCGAAAAAGCACCCCATTTTTTAAAGAACCACGTCTAGACTGTAGTTTCAATTTTTAAATAGCGCTTTTTCGAAAGAGCGCCATTACGTGTTTATGCAAATGAAGCACGGGATATTTAAATCCCAGCTTCATTTGCGCTTTCAAAGTGCTTTATTTACATCCCTCTGCCGACAGAGGGATGTAGTCTAGACATAGCCTGACGCGCCTCTTCCTCCAGTTGAAGTTAGCTACATGTCCCTCAGCTGGGAGTCAGCAAACCCTTCCTTGGCCCTCCCCAGAAATCCCTTGCTATGCAGAAATTTGCAAGTGCGGCACTTGCGTTATTCCTCCTCCCTGACAAATGCCACCCAACTGGCCTTCGCTGGGCCCCACCGGGTCCAAAACACAAACAGAAAGTGAGACTGAAAGTTCTGTTTTGGAGGCTTCTTCCCGGCTCTGTTTTGTGCTGAAATCATCCTTTCTGTACTAGGCAGTGATGCAATGGGACCTCCCCACTGCTGCCACGTTATCAGCTCTTACTGGAGCGGGGGCACCGTTTCAGCAAGGGAGGCTCCAAGGCTGGGAAAGCCACTTGCCTTGCCCTCTAGGCTGCTGCCACATGATTGTAAGCCACAGAAAACAAGGGCATCACCCCCTCCGCTACAAGTGCATGGAGTTGCAGCCAGCCTACTATTACCAAAGCACGTTCATGTTCTTGCTAGTGCAATAGTGCACTAGTGCCACGCCCTCACTCTAGTTCAATACAAGCATTTCACTGCCACCTCATTGTTTAACAAAAAACCCTGTGCACTACACTAGTCAGGCAGGGCTGCTTTAAGGCATCTCTTTGGAGGAGCCGGTCGCTTTCCCTCTTAAGTGCCCGTCTTACCCTAGTTTCTCTTGGCTTTCCTCTGGGGTGAGTTGATCGAAAGTTTTGGCTTCCTCCTTGCCCAGAAAAGCCTCGTGGTCGTACTGGAAGCTTTGGTTATCTTCGTGCAGCTGGTCGCTGAGCTGAGGGTCCGGGTGAACGACCCTCTCCTTCCTGAGCGTGGGTTTGCTGAGGGACCCTCCTGTGCAAAGCAGCAGCGCGACCCAGCAGGCGGCCGGGCAGCCCATCCTCCGCGCCTAGCGAGGCACAGGGGGAGACAGAGAGGGGCGCCGCGTGAGTGTGTTTCAAGCAAGGAATCAGGGGAGAGGAAAGGCCAGCTGGGGACACATGGAGCCGGCCAGCTGCGCGCTGCATCCCCTCGGAAAGCGCCGCTGCTAGCCGCGATCCCCGCGTGCAGCAGCGCAGCCCGGTGCCTGCCCCTCCCTCCAGAGCGCGCGCACACACCCACCCACACCCGCTGCCAGCCTGGCGGACCGGCCTCCCCCACGAGCGCCCCTTGCAACATACCAGCGCCCCGGCAGCCCTCAGAACGCCGCTGCCCGTCGCGAGCGACCCGCTGCGGGCTCTGACCGCGAGCCCCTCCGCCCGCCTCCCCAGCCAGTCACGGGAGAGCTTGCAAGGACACGGGGCGGGGTCCCCAATTGTTACGG